CAAGTGTATTCAGACCAACACGCTAGAGCAGGAGAGGGTGAACAACATGACACTGATCGACGAACGGTGAGAGAGAGAAGGATGAGAGAAGCGAGAAAGAGACGCGAGACCGCTGAAGACGGAGAGAGAAGAGAGAAGAGAGATGGAGAGAGAGAGAGACGAAAGAGAGAGAGAGATGGAGGCGGAGACGAGAGCGAGAAACCAGATGGAACGACGAGAGAGAGAGAGACGAAGAGAGAGAGAGAGGAGAGAGCGATGAGAAGAAAAAACTAAAATGGAAGTAGGTAAAGAGTCACGGACATAAAATGAGTCTTCAAAAGAATAAAAGGAAAGACAGACAAAAAGAGAGAGAGACGAACGAAACGAAAAAGAAAAAAAAAAAATTGAAAAGAAAGAAGGAAAAAAAGACAAGCGTGACAACACACACACACACACACTACACACACACACAGCACACACACACACACACACACACACACACACACACACACACACACACAACACACACACACACACACACACACACACACACACACACAGACACGAAATATCTTTCCCCGAAGAGATATAAATAAAGCTTAGAAATCCTTCTACGAAAAGGACATATTGCCTTATAAGGTCTTCGTCCACGCAGAGAGAGGAAACAAACGGACGAACACACATACACATTATGACACTAGAAAATAGATCGACAGGTACTGTATAAAAATATATTTATTCGGCAGGTAGTTCGATTGAGGAAAATCGAGAGAGAGGGAGAGAGGGAGGAAGGAGAGAAGAGAGAGAGAGAGAGAGAGAGAGAGAGAGAGAGAGAGAGAGAGAGAGAGAGAGAGAGAGAGAGAGAGAGAGAGAGAGAGAGAGAGAGAGAGAGAGAGAAGAGAGAATGAGAGAGAGAAAGAAAGAAGAAAAAAGAGAGAAAGAAAACAAAGAGAAAAGAGAGAGAAAGAAATGAGAAGAGAGAGAGAAAAGAGAAAGAAAGAAGAGAGAGAGAGAGAAAGAGAGAGGAAATGAGAAAGACCATGAGTTCTTAGACACGAATCCAGGACTGCCGATAACACAAAGAGGGGCGCGCTTGAGAAAGGAAATCTGAAACAGGAGATACTGATAAAGTGGGTAAGCGTGTCGACCGCCCTTGGTTCTCGAGGCTAATCTCTATCCAGTCTTTTCCTGTGATTGAATGCAGGAAAAAAAAGCATCTTGGCAAACCCGAAATCCTTGTTGCTTAACTTCCACTCTCTCTCTCTCTCTCTCTCTCTATTTATCTACATCTCTCTATCCCCACTTCCTATCGTTCCTTCACTATTTCTCTCTCTATCTCTGTCTGTCTGTCTGTCTGTCTGTCTGTCTCTTCTCTCTCTCTCTCTCTCTCTCTCTCTCTCTCTTCTCTCTCTCATCTCTCTCTCCTCTCTCTTCTCTCTCTCTCTCTCTCTCTCTCTCTCTCTCTCTCTCTTCTCTCTCTCTCTCTCTCTCTCTCTTTCTCTCTCTCCTCTCTCTCCTCTCTTCCTCCTCTCTCCCTTCTCTCCTCTCTCTCTCTCCTCTTCTCTCTCTCTCTCTCTCTCTCTCTCATCTCTCTCTCCCCCCCCCTTTCTCTCTCTCCTCTCATCTCTCTCTCTCTCTCTCTCTCTCTCTCTCTCTCTCTCTCTCTCTCGTCTCTCTCTCTCTCTCTCTCCCTCTCTCTCTCTCTCTCTCTTTCACCCACACGCAACGCACAGAGACACGCACGCACACGCATATCAAAGGAATTGTATTTTTCTCAAAGCACATACATCAGAAGATAACACTGATTAGGAAAACGTTCGTAGAAACTGACCGACAAATTAATTTTTTTTCCACACTGATTTCTCAAAACCCACAAATGACCAAATTTCATAATTTCAGTTTGTGGGTTTTTCACACTTCACTGCACACTTATTATCATCATTATTTACTTTTATTAATTAGCGTGAGGAGTGCATTTGAAATTACAGTAGTTAAAAAGGAGGTAATATCTTTTCGTAATTTTCGTAATATGACGTACTTTTTGAGGAAAATATTACGTAGCGTTTTTCACTAACATCATATCGAAAAAATATATTCATATTTTTTCGATGTTGATAGTTTTACTTCCCAAACGTTTTAAATCAATGAAAGATGATGCAATGAGGTCAGATAAATGGAATATATACAGAAGATAAAGGAATAAAAAGTACAAGAGGCAAAATAGGTAAAGTAAACAGACTGTAAACGTGTTTTCAAATGAGTTTTATAAGAAAAGATAGATTTGTTGTCCTCTCTCTCTCTCTCTCTCTCTCTCTCTCTCTCTCTCTCTCTCTCTCTCTCTCTCTCTCTCTCTCTCTCTTCTCTCTCTCTCTCTCTCTCTCTCGTCCTTTCCTCCTCCCTCCCCCTCTCTCGTCTTTTCCTCCCTCCCCCCTCTCGTCTTCTCTCTTCTCTGTCTCTCTGTCTCTCTCTCTCTCTCTCTCTCTCTCTCTCTCTCTTCTCTCTCTCCTCTCTCTTCTCTCTCTTCTCTCTCTCTCTCTCTTCTCTCTCTCTCTCTCTTTCTCTCTCTCTCTCTCTCGTTATCTATTTTTTCTCCTTTCTGTTTTATCAGTATTTTTTCCATAAATTTATCTCTATTCCCTCCATTATTTTACTTTCTCGCTCTTTCTCACTATCTCTCTTTCTCCCCCTCCCCCCTCTCTGGATCTCTGTCTCTGTCTCTCTCATTCTCTCTCTCCTCCCCCTCTCTCTGTCTGTGCTTCTTCTGTCTCGTTTCTCTCTCTCTCTCTCCTCTCTCTCTCTCTCTCTCTCTCTTCTCTCTCTCTCTCTCTCTCTCTCTCTCTCTCTCTCTCTCCTCTCTCTCTCTCCTCTCTTCTCTCTTTCCTTTCTCTCTCTCTCTTCCTTTCTCTCTCTCTCTTCCCTTTCTCTCTCTCTCTCTCTATCTCCCTTTCTCTCTCTCTCTCCTCTCTCTCTCCCTCTTCTCTCTCTTCTCTTCTTCTCCTCTCTCTCTCTCTCTCTCTCTCTCTCTCTCTCTCTCTCTCTCTCTCTTCTCTCTCTCTTTCTTCTTCTCTCTTCTCTGTCTGTCTCCTCACTCTTTCCCCTTTCCTCATCCTCTCCTGTCTGTGTTGTCTGTGTTTCTGTCGGTTCTCTCTCTCTCTCTCTCTCTCTCTCTCTCTCTCTCTCTCTCTCTCTCCTCTCTCTTCTCTCTCTCTCTCTCTCTCTCTCTCTCTCTCTCTCTTCTCTCTCTCTTCTCTCTCTCGCTCGCTCTCTCGCTCTATCTCTCTCCCTCTCTCATCTTCTCTCTGTCTGTGTGTCTGTTTTTCTGTCTGTCTGTCTTGTCTCTTGTCTTTCTCATTCTCTCTCTCCCTCCCCCTCTCTCTGTCTCTCTCACTCTCTCCCCCCCCTCTTTCTCTCTCTGTCTGTGTCTGTGTTTTCTGTCTGTCTCTGTCTGCCTGTTCGCCTGTTTCTCTCTCTCTCTCTCTCTCTCTCTCTCTCTCTCTCTCTTCTCT